AATCAGTTTATCCATTTCACCTTGCCACAACTGCAACAAGTAGATTGAGCAACAGTAGACTGGCGCTTGATTGCCCAGATTTCCATCTCTGTCAAGCAAACTGATTGATGGCTTATCTCAATTCACTGTTTCTCTGCCCATGTGAATTCTAATTAAAATGCATTTGATTGTTTTTCCCTCACTTCGAAGAAGCCATCAACTCTGCCATCTGCAGTTGCTCTGTTTTCATTTTTATGTATAAATACAAACATACATACATTCAGTACAGAAAGTATTCAGATCTTTTCAAGTTTTCCACACTTTGTTATGGTGCAGACTGATCTTAAAATGGATTCAATTCAATTTTTCTCCTCATCAGTCTACACAATATTCTACAATGTTAAAGTGAAAGTCAAAAAGGTTTTTGAGTGTTTTCTAAATATATTAAAATAAAAGACTGAAATATCCCATTTACATCAGTATTTAGACCCTTTGTTATGACACTTGCAACTGAGCTCTGGTGCATCCTACTCCCATCAACAGTCATTGAGATGCTTCGACAACTTGATTCAAGTCCACCTGTGCCTAATTTAATTCACTGGATATAATTAGAAAAGGCACACACCTGTCTGTATAAGGACTCACAGTTGATGGTGCATGTCAGAGTGAAATCAAAGCCATGAGGTCAAGAGAATTGTCCAAAGACCGGCAAGACAAGACTGTGTCAAGACACAGATCTGGGGAAGGATACAAGAGAATTTCTGCAACATTGAAAGTGCCCAAGAGCACAGTAGCCTCCATCATTCTCAAATGAAAGAGATTTGGAACCACCAACAGTCTTCATAGATCTGGCCGGCCAACCAAATGGTGTAATGGGGGATGAAAGGCTTGGTCAGCAGGTAACCAAGAACCCAAAGGTCACTATGAAGGAGATCCAGAGTTTGTTTCTGGAGATGGGAGAACCTTGCAGAAGGTCAACCATCAGTACAGCACTCCACCAATCAGGCCTCTATGATAGAGTGGCCAGAGAAAAGCCATTCCTCACTAAAAGACATGACAGCCCACTGGGAGTTTGCCAAAAGGCACCTGAAGAACTCTCAGAACATGAGAAGCAAAATCCTCTGGTCTGATGAAACAAAGCTTGAACTATTTGGCCGCAATTCCCCACAGCATGTGTGGAGAAAACCAGGCACTGACACTGAGCAGCACATAACTAATACCATCCCTCAGTTAAATACAGTGGTGGCAGCATCATGCTGTGACATCTGCGACTGGGCTGAGGCTGACAGCATTGGAGACTGGGGATGGTAGACTAGTCAGGATAGAGGGAAGGATGGGAGCAGAATAATATAGAGCAATCCTGAATGAAAACCATCTACAGCATGCTCAGGATTTCAGGCTGGGGCAAAGGGTTACATTTCAACAAGACAAAGACCCAAAGCACTATGAAAACACAAGCTTGGCTTCAAGAAAACTCTGTGAATGCCGTGGAGTGGCCCAGCCAGAGTCTGGACCTAAACCCAGTAGAACATCTCTGGAGACCTGGAATGGGCTGTGCATCAATACTCCCCATCCAATCTGACTGACCTTGAACAATTCTACCAAGAAGACTAGAAGAAATTTCCAAAAGAAAGGTGTGCCAAGCTTGCAGCTTCATTCTCAAGAAGACTTGAGGCTGTCGTTGTTGCCAAAGGTGCTTTAACCAAGTACGAAGTGAAGGGTCTGAATACTTATGTAAATGGGATATTTCAGTCTTTTATTTTTAATAAATTTTCAAAACACTGCAAAAATCTGTTTTCACTTTAATATTGTGGAGTATTGTGTAGATTGATGAGGAGAAAAATTGAAACAATTTCAAGATGAGTCTGCAACATAACAAAATGTGGAAAACTTAAAAGTGTCTGAAAACTTTACGTACTGACTGTGTGTGTGTCTGTGTGTGTGTGTGTGTGTGTGTGTGTGTGTGTGTGTGTGTGTGTGTGTGTGTGTGTGTGTGTGTGTGTGTGTGTGTGTAAAGTCCAAATCCAGCCAAAGAATAGAAGACTGGTTTAGAGCCTCTTGAAAAGTTGCCGGTGTGAACATGGCTGGCAGCAGCTCTGTGTTGTTAAACCATCTTTTGAGGTAACTTCAATTGAATCACTGAGCATTATCAAGTCAAGTCATTACAGTGAGGTGATTTGGCAGGTGGCAAGCACCCCAGGGTAACCATTAGAAACCAATTAATGTCCCTAACGGAGGTTTCATGGTTCTGGCACAATGCCCACAGGAAAAATCAACTTGCTGATTACACTGCTGCTGCAATAAATGTGTGTGTGTGTATACTGTATGTGCACTGTGTGTTTCAAAACATTTTCCTGCTCTTCATACAATGACATGAGATGCCATTTTAACAACAGAAAGTGTCTCAGCTAAAGAAGGTGACCCTCCCTATTAAAAAAAACAACAAGCAAAAAAGGAAAAGGCAGCGCATTATGAAAACAAAAAGAGGAAGCCTATAAATATAAGTTATGTTTGTTGAATCCATGTTTGCTCTGTTGTGCACCTACTGTTGATGTCCATTCTGCTCATGCAGAAGATGGCATCATGACATAGGGCTACTCTGCAAGAGCAATGCACATGCTGTGCAATGGAAACACAAATGTGTAGTGGGGCCAGGCAGCTCAGGCCAATAGCCGGCCAGCTGGCCTGAGTACGGGACAGTTCCCGGTGGCAGTGCATTGATAGCATACTGTAACCTGGTAGACCAATGTCTGTCTTTGCAACTCTTCAACAGCTGTCATATAGCTGTCAATAGACCAATGAAGAATGAACTGTCCGTGGTGCTGAAACCACCACGCAAATAAACTGCATCCTGAGATAAATGTTCTGTATACAGCATCTCACAGTAATCTGGTTCAAGTTATTCCCAGTGATGAGAAATAAGTTAAAAGGTGTATTCAGACATGATTCTATCAGCTTGAAAATGTTTATCAAATACGGTTATTTCATGTATGGTGTACTGATTCACTTTGACTGAACAAGCAGTTCACTATAGTCAACTATATTTTATCACTTCCAGTAGGCAAATGGGACAAACAATGTGCATAATGTAATTATTTCCTGTTTTGTTATTGTTGGCTAGTACTGTGCTGTGGACTCACACCTAAGCTAAAATAGTTCCTGCTCTGCATATGAAATAATTTGACTATTAGATGGTATTATGTACCAATCTCCTGTGAGGTTTGTAATAAGTTCAGAATGTCAGTAATGAGCTCATGCCCAGCTTTAGAACAGTCTTGAAAAGAAATGTATGTTTCGCTAAGCTACATCAAGAACTACTTGTTAAAACAAAGGTCTACTAGTGTCTTCTTGTGTTGTCAAACACTTCTCCTGATCTGGCTGAGAGTCACTATGGCAGACTGACAGATTATACAGTATGTGATTATGATGATGCTGATGATGATATCCATTACTTCTTGGCCATCTTGAACAAAGAGGCCCTTTCTGATGAGAACAACAAAAATTAAATGGCACCATGGCAATGAAGGTAACTGTGATTTGTCACTGGACACACAGCTTCGTGATTATGTGCCATTGTGTTTAAACAGCCAATAATCTATGTAAGCCCGATGAACATAGCAGCAGCTCCTGCAGGTAACACCCACCCTATGTTTAGTTGCTTCTGGGAACAAACTGTTGGTGAATGTGCCTCGCTGCGACACCGATGCTCGCACACAAACACATAAATACATATACACATAGACCACCACCCCTCCCCGTATCCCCTGTTGCTATGGAACCTGTCGCCAAGGCAGAGGTATGTGGCTGTGATGGACATGGTGGATGAAGGCGACGATGACGATGATGATGATGGTTAAGAGGATGATAATAGTGATCGGATAAATAACCCCTGGCTTAATTACAAGGTTCGGCTATAGACGTAAACGAATACATTGCTGGGCTTTGCTCTCTGCAACGTGGGTGGAAGGAGCGACGCGTAATACTGCGCAATGCAAACAGACCCTTTCCTCACCGTAAATCAAACCACAGCCCTGGCTTTCCACTGATTCTGCACGTGTTGCTTTGAAAACACTTAAAAAGTCGTCGCGTTAAACTTCGATCAAATCTTGTACTAAAGAAGCTACTGTCCTCCGCTGCCATCCCAAAAATAGCACACCATCAACCCAATTCTCAGCAGATAAATAAGTCCTGCAGGCCCTCCTACTGCCACCTGTCATCTCTGTGCTATTCCTCTCTCGCGCTCTGCTATTAAGAAGCCCTGTCGACATGAAGACTTCGATCAAAACGTGACAAACAGGACTAATGACTATAGAATACTGGAGGATATATAATAATCCAGTGTACATATTGGTGGGTGCTGTTGAAATTCTCGCTCCTTAGCACCACTCTGTGTTCAGTTCTGAACTATAGCCAACAAAATATGTGTGCGATTTACTTTACCTAACCCAGAAGCTTTGAGGAGACGAGATCTGTCAAATAATTTGTACGCACACACTTTTGCTGTCATTTTCTGCTGGCAATGTGTCATAAACAATAATGTCCCCCGCCTACAACTGCCTGCTGGCTAATTATGACCATTGCCCACCCATTATGCCACAGTTCTCCGATGGAAAGGCCTGTCAAACCCACAAGTGTGGATGGAAACCAAGCAAGAAAAAGGCCCCAGCCATAGCTGTTCGCGGCTACCTGCAGCCTTGTTGCGTGATTATGGCACAAGTTCGCTTGCTGCACAAACTGCGCGTAGAAGAAAAATCAGAAACAAACTGTACACAGTAGGAAAGTGGAAGAAAAAGAACTACACTGTTCATCTGTCGTAAAAGGAGGAGAGTGTTAATAGCCCTTTCCGTTTTACCCCTCTTCCTCCCTCCTGCCCTCCACCCCCTCTTTCCCCCATCCCATCCCCATTTCGAGACGATCATACCTCTCTTACTCCCTCCCTCCCCTTTTGACGCTCTCCCTTCCCTCTCTCACGCACAATTATAAGATGTTTGCCAGTTATAAATAAAAAAGGCACCACATACCTTGATGGTTCTCAAGGGTATCCTCCGGGATGTACATGTTTTTGCTTTCATTTACCATAAATGTAGTCCGGCGTTATCCCTATAGGTGAATGGAAGAGAGAGAGAGGAAAAAGCTGTGGAGGAGGAGGAAAAATAACAAGAGGGGAAAAGCCCCCCAAAAATAAAGAAATCAAAAAACAGGGAAAAATAAGAAAGAACTGTCTGGCACAGATAGTTTTGGGTATTCCGTTATTTTTCTTTATGGAGAGGGTCTCTTCGGATGGAGTGAATATTACCTAATCCCCATGATGGAGGTGAAGGCGAGAAAAAAGAGGGAGCTTTCGGCGGAACCGGTTGGGAAAACGCACCGGTGCATCCCTCGGTACATCCGGGCCCTAGGCAAGAAACATGAGACCAGCACCGCGTTCAATTCAATTCACACCTCGCTCGCTCTCTCCCTCTTTCTTTCTCCCCTCTCCCTTGCTGTGATTAAAAAAATAAGGTTTCAAAATGTTATAAAGCACGAACGCTGTCAGTGGTGGTCGCAATGGAAGTGCGCAAAAGACGCATTCGCGCGCATCTTCAGCAGCGTGTCAGAATGTGAGGGGATGAAGAAGAGGAGGTGGAGGTGGTGGAAGAAGAGAAGGAGAAGGAAGGGAAAATAAGAAAAATTAGAAATTGAGAAGAGCGTAAATATTCCATCACGGGTAGCACGGGGTTAACTCTCCCAATAGCTTGTCGGTTATTCCACGTATCTGTAGCAGAGTCCCCCCAAAAAAACAAAAGCCAGGCCGTCCTGTCTCATCCGGAGGCGGGTTTCAACGTCCTGATCCAGTCCGTAATGGTCCGGTGGTTCGTCTGTCAGTCAGTCTATGTGTCTGTCTGCCTGTCTGTCTGCCTGTCTGGCTGTGTCTCACTGATCGGGAGTTTGATCTCTTTCTTCTCTCTGCCTCTGCTGCCCCTGCAGCTTAGCTCTGCAGTGATACTGAGAGAGAGAGAGAGAGAGGTAGCCCCCTTCCCGTGCATGCAGACACTGACTATTTCCAGATGTTTGTGTGTGTGTGTGTGTGTGTGTGTGTGTGTGTGCGTGCGTGTGCGCGCTAGAGAGAAAGAAGGAGGGAAGGGAGGGAGGGAGACTCTATAGGCAACAGTGGAGAACCAGCGAATGGTATCCAGATGATAATGGTGATGATAAAGGCAAAGATCATGATGATGTTGATGAAGTGTGTATGGTGGAAGGGGAGGAGAGTCAAGAAATGTTAACAGGAACAGTGTCAGAAAAAAAAGACAAAATAAAAAGGTGGCCAAAACCCACTAATGTGATACAGACAATAAGATAGAGAACAAGAGGAAATAGGAATGTGTTCCTGTGTATGTGTGTGTTGAGTGAAAGAGAGAGGAGTGTAATGGGGATAATGATCCATAGACTCTAATTTCTCCAGGAAGAAGCAGAGAGCTGAGATTTTGTACCTACATCTGATTTGCCCATAGTCCCTACACATCTAGACTATTTCAACCCCGTTCTTGTTTTTGGCCAATGCTGTGTTTACACACACACTAAATATGTGGTTTTTCAAGTCGTTTATGACTCAAGAACTGATCATTTCATGGCTCATTCTTAAACAATAAGAAACCACAAAGAAGCTGATTTTTAAATCTTTGGATCCTGTGTAAATACATGAAGTAAGCTGGTTTAGGAAGGTCAGTGCTCAAAAAGTGAAGGAATCTCTTTATCCCGAAAATGATTTTTAGAATTGTTTTTCTTTTCTGCCCTCAGGATGGTGAAGCATATTTTGACATTGTTCTCCATGGCCAGAAACAAATTTGTACTGGCCCCTAAAACATACCAAGTCATTTTCTGGACACGGGTACATTTTCTTAGGTAACACAATAAAGTCAGCAACATCAGCTCTCAACTAAATAGCTCTGGACCAAGATTTGATGACACGGTGTCTGCTTGGCTCTACAACTCCTACACTTTGGAGATAGACCTGCTTGCACAAATAACATATCTAAATTGGGCTAAAAGCTCTTCACAGATAGCTTGATATAAAAGTTTTTTTTTTATTCCCCTATTATCAGTCTTAAAAAGGATCTTGACCTTATTTTGAAAAGCAGTTCCTAAAACTAATTCTGTTCAAATATTTTAAAGGATGATTTCAAGATATCAAATGCATGAAACAAAGGTATGAAAGTGTTTCACAAACCAGAATAACTAGGTTCAATAAAACATCAAGATGTAGTGAAAGTACTAAGCAGCATTTCCAGATCCCAATTATGGCAATTTGACATTGAATACAAACTTCACAATGCATAGGCCGTATGTCAGTCTCACTGAAGGCTATAATCAGAGACGAATCTGATGACTCAACCCAGCCCATGTTCATTTGTTCACTGCCATAGCAAAAAAATCACCACCCACCATCCTGTAATAGAATAAAGCTTTTTGTCTATGTGTCACTGTAGACATAGTAAGAACAGGGATGCAGTTGATATATTATTCTATTGATGGCATTTGACAGATGAATTGTCTTTTTCTGAACAATATAGTGTTTTGTGATGCAGATGTTATTATACTGGGGGGAATGTAAAGATTGTTCCATGGTTAAAGGATAAGGACGGTCATTTTCTATAGGCTATTAATAGTATTTTCAACAATAACCACACAGAGACTAAAAAACTGTGCTTCTACTCACAGTTATAGGCTGTATGTCTCCACCCTGGATGAGCTTATTTGTCTGTGCGATAGACTTCCATTGTTGTTCTAAAATTATTAAAAACACATTAGTGAAACAAACTGCTGCACTGGGTGGCATGCTTATCCATTATGAAACCCAAGACCTGCATATTAAAAACGTTGCCCCGAAAAGCTCCGAATGCCCTAACTCTGCTGGAAACAGTCCCGGGTGGCTCTTCCAAAAACAGCCGGGGGACGGCTTTGCACAACAATTTAAGAGAAGCCAGCAAACAAACCCGACATGCATACACAAAGCCAACTACTTAGTCATCACCCTTAATGCTTTTTTCTTGTGAAAGTAAAGCGTGATATATGAAAACGCTTCTATTTGAACACAAATCTCACCTTCACCTGCTTTCTCCGGTTTAACCTGGCATCTTCTCCTTGTTCTGGTGCGCCAAGCAGCGATTTGCTCAGTACTGCCACCTGGGGTCAGGCTCTTAGTGTCAGGTTCTCAGTGTCACTTGATCAGTTAAAGTGGGCATTTACCTTAAACACACTGACCCCGCCACTTTAACAGGCACACCTATACAATTGTATGTACTTCATTGCAACACTTCCATCTGTTTTAATGAAGTGTATGAAGGCCATATGCTAACCCCTGGACATAGGAATAAAGCTTAACCTCTCACACTAAGGTGGCATATTTGAAACATATTAAAGCTCCAAACACTGCTTGAGGTTGTATGATGGAGATATTCACTCAGTAATTGACTACCATGAACCTGCGAACAGAGTTCCCTGCAGACCTCCCTCTTTCATGTTATTAATTCAGGATAAGACCCCAAACCTCCCAAATAACAGCAACCTGCAGTTATTGTGGCAGCTACCCCCTTAACCCTCAGATGTTACCATACTGAGAAACCTTTATAAGCCAGGATACTCTGGCTTTTTGAGGAAGTGTTAAATTTAGTCTGAAATAACCAATGAAAGCTGTGTCACTGGACACCTAAGACCATATTTGTTTTGCACAGTATTTAGTTGATCTAAGATGTTATTAAGGATAGGATATTTAAAGAATAGTGTGTATTATGTAACAAGTAAATAACTGAATATTTTAGATAAAATCCTTTTCTGATATAATTTTCTAAACTCCGCCTCCCTTCGCACAGCCAGCCGGTTTGTACAGAATTCACCCAAGTAACAAGCCCAATCAGAAAAGTGCTGCTTGTGTTGTCACCGTGAGGTATCCGCAGCCAGGCAGCTTGTTAACACCGCTGGGTTGCCACTGCCTGTTTTAACTTTTGGAGACACTGTTGAAAAGGTTGGCATACTATAAATACTATGACTTGTGTAATCAAACACTCAAAATAAACCCTTTTCAGATGTATCTGTCTAAAAATCATTTTAGCAGCTCAATCTGGGCCTTCTGTCAACCCTGTGAACTGTTATGCAACCTCACACACTCACTAAGACTTAGGTAATCACACTCATTGAAAATTGGGTAACCAAACACTGAGAAATGTGTGTCTTAACCATTACCACTTAAAAGTGTTAACTCACCAAAATCATAGGAATGTCAATAACATCACCTTGATTCAATAACCACAGAGAGTATTAAATCTTTTCAGGAATTTTATATAAAGCTTAACAGAGCTACAGCAAAGCAACAAGCAATAAAATATAAACCTTAAAATCATCAATAATCTGCTTGCAATCTAAATAAATCAACAACTACTAATTCTAAACATAAATTTAAAATGATCATACTGATTAAAATCATTATGGTTGAGCTAAGCTCTTGATCTGAATAAAAGTCAAAGGTCTCACGTCACCGATCCTCACCTGGCTCTGGCCGGGCGGTGGCCGAATGGGCAATGCTTGTTCCTCTTTTTTCCTTTTCGCCATGATTCAAGCTTTCACAAAGTAAAAGAATTTACAAACAAAAATTTCAAAGCTCATCCAGTTCAATCCTCAAAACCCTCGAAGAGAGAAATAGGACAAATTCAGATAAACTATGTTTTTCTTGGTCAAATCTTGTGTGACTCAGGAAAGCATAAAAGACATGAAAATGTCTAAAGCTGTCTTCTTTTCAAGACATCCTTTCCCCACCAGGCCAGGTGGATTGTGGCTTTTTGTTAAAATTCATCATTTCTTCATTAATCAT